TGGCCACATTCTTTACAGTCTAGGTATTGCTGGAAACACTTATGTGGTGGGATAAGCTCCATAGGGTAGTTGGGTGCTTTGGTGCAAAGATTTTAGATAGACTAAATAGACAATAATATCACACCTGTGCTCAGTCTTTGTTGTCATTTAGATAACTGGAAAGATACAATCCAGTAGTGAGTCCGGTGTACTGTAAATTGCAAGTTGTTTAACCAAAACTTGCATGGTAAAACTATGCAGATAAAATAAACTTCCAATTGATTGAAATGAAAACAAAATCTGACCATAAGTACACAGTATCTCCATGAGAAACAAGTATGCCATGACAACCAAATGGCCATAAGATGCTTATCACTCTTAATTCAGCAGTACACAACATGCAAAACCACATGCTGAGAAAGGCATGCAAAAAGACACACAAGAATGCACTTCAGGTAGCTGCAAAATAAAAAAGGCATTTCATTGGAATAGCTCCTTGATCTGCCAGAGTAGTTCAGGAAATGTAAATGTAAAGCAAGCTGGAAAACATTGTGAGGAAAGAGGGGAGGAATGGTAAAACAGGAGTATGGCACAGTGGGAATAAAATAGAGGTGATCCAGTTAATTTAGAGAAGCATGTGCAAAGTGCTTAAAGAGTGACCAATTTGTGTCCCTGAAAACCATCCACATGGGTGAGGATTTTAAACTCTCTAAGGGCAAAAAATATTTATGAAAAACAAGTTAAAGATTTCTGCTCAAATAGAACTTTATCTCCTACCAATAAAATAATAATAATAAAAAGAATTTTAGAAATATTAGTCAGAATAAAATTCAGAAATATAAAATAAATTATCAAATACATGGTACAGATTATAGCCATGAAACTAGACAAAAGAAAATTAGTGGCCTTCTGTATCAAAAAGTCTATCTTGAACCTCAGGTATACCAGTACCAGCAGAACAGAGGTGCCGGTCAGAAAAAATGCACCCAGCATCTCTTAAAAACAAGCTCTCCTCTTCAGGTTGTAAAGTTTTTGAAGTAAAACTTGGAAAATTAACCCTGGAAGAAATGCATATTATTTTTTTACTTACAGGCAGTCAAAAGTAGTACAAAGCAAGTTGGAACACAGTGATTTGTTAGACAGTACTGCCCATTCTTGGATGAGAAGCTTCAGTCTAGGGATGAAGATCACAGAATCTAAGCTTTGAAGGAAGGGTGGTTCAGCAGCCCCTCTGAGAAACTGTCACTTATCACATGCATGTTAGACTGAAAGTAAAAAATATTCTCAAACTACATACTTCATCAGATAAAATCAGAAAGCATTTTTTTATACTGTGTACAGTAGAGCTCAAGAGGGCTATCTATAAACGTTTCAGTAGAATCCAGGGTAGGTCACTGTTGCAGTCGTGATATTCATGAGATGGAATTGTGGTTTAGGAAAACCTATCTAAGTTTATAGCTAAAACTCCACTGATACCTATTGTAAACGGCTGAGAACCACAGATGATTTTCTTTTATAAAAAGTAAAATAGAAATCTTGGAAGTCAACTGGTATTAATATAAGTACTGCAATTTACAGGAGGTCTGCATGAAACTAGTCAAAATCAGGGACAAATGCTGGCCAAAGAAACAAAATACCCATCTAGTTCTTCATGAAGCAGCTTAGCAAGAATTCTCTCTTCTATGGCTTCCTATTAATTCACTGCATAGAGTTTGCATTTATTTCATTCATTTATTAAAGCTAAGACTACAGTAACATGAAAAAACTTGGAGTAAGTGAACCACATTTCAGCCTCGTCTGTTAAAATCAATGCAAGAGCATTAATACTACTTTTATAAATTCAAGAAGACAGAAATTCATGTTTGGTGTAAGCAACCTTACAAAAAGCCAAAATATCTATGTGAAGGAATTTTCTGTGAGAAAAATGTTGTGTTGTTTTTTGTTGTTTTTTTTTTTCTCATTCACAAGTGCAATTTTAGGATTGACAGAAATGCTTCCGGGTTTCAGAGTTTTCTGGTGTCAGGATCATAGAATCATAGAATAATTACGGTTGAAAAGGACCTTAAGATCATCTAGTTCCAACCCCCCTGCCATGGGCAGGGACACCTTACACCTCCTCAGCTGAATTGCATTCAGATCTCTTTGGACAATGTAATTTACTATAAAATATATAAACTGATAAAAGGATAAAATATAGCAGATTTTAAAGCTAATTGAATATTATGGTTAATAAAGAGACTTAGTATGCTGGTGTTTCCCCCACATTTATCTATCCAAGAAAATTAATTACAGTAATATTTCAGTCCATGAAGGCCAGTGTGAAATGAGCACATTGCCTGAGAAAGGCAGTAAAAAAATACTAACTACACAGTGTTTTGTGACAGTCTCAATAACCACAGAGCTCAGTGTACATGGACTTTACCTTACTTCTCAGAGACATGGTGTGGAGTTTTCATCATTGCCTTTTATGGTTTGTGGGTTGACTAAAGCTTGTTTTGAAGGCAATGCATTATTTTACCTCCCACACAAATGTATGAGGCTCCATCACAACAGCCATTTACATAATTAAACTTCAGATGCTGGCAAATGGCTTAGGAGTTCAAAACGCAGTTTCTTTACAGGTGGAGCCACAGGTGGACTTTAGGAGACCCTGAGTTAAGGGGCTGTCCTTTTCATTTTGACCTACAAATCAGATTATTTAAGCTGCTTTATTACTTATTTCTACTTTCTGGGGTCTCATGCTGTCACCCTAGCTGTTCACCTGTAAGACCAGCTGACCACCCAATGACCATTAAGCAATTTTCATCTGTTTAAGATGTGGTTTCTTAGCATGACCCTGTCATAGTACACTGAAAGGACACAAGGTAAACACTGGGAAGTAAGAGCAGACAGGTATGTCTTTTATCTTCTGAAATTCAAGTCACTGCAGATTTCTCTCTGTATCTCCCTGCTTCCCTTCACGATCTTCCCAGTTTCCTCATAACTGGAAAGGTCAAAACTGAAAAGCAATATTCTCCAAAACTCCCTTTCAACAGCGTGTCTATTCTGTCTTTGGAGATGTCAAACAACCCAGGGAGCTGTCTGAAAAAAAGGCTCTGATATGTGTCAAAGCTACTTGCAAATGTCAGGAAAACTATGAGAGATCTTGAAGATCTCCATACAAGTCTCTGTCTTGTGATTTATTAATGGTACATCTGTGTAAAGCCAGACACTGGGTGAATCACATCTGGTTACTGGAAAATATTTTTAAAATCAAAGTTTAACTGAAGGTCACGAGGATTTTGCTAACCTTTCTCCCAGTCTGAGCCTAGACCAGTCCCTCTATTTACAGCTGTCTTTAAAAGTCCTCGAGGCAATATAATAGTTTGCTCTCTTTTAATAGAGCCCCTAATCTCTCTAAGTCACTATTTGAGAGCAGGCCATGAGATGTTCTCTCTCTAAAATCCCAAGCTTCATTTTCTCTCCAAAAAAAATCCGTGTCCATCCTCTTCCTGGTTTGAGATACTCTGTTTCTCAGGTACATCATTGTAGGACTTCCCAACTCTGATTGGATCTGGGCATGTGTCCTGTTTTCAGCTGGGATAGAGTTAATTTTCTCCCTAGCAGCTGGTGCAGTGCTGTGTTTTGGCTTTAATCTAAAAACAATGCTGATAACACACCAATGTTTTAGCTGTCGCTCAGTAGCGTTTACCCTAATCAAGAACTTTTCAGTCTCATAATCTGTCAATGAGTAGGGGCCCAAGAAGCTGTGAGGGAGCAGAGAGAGGACATCTGACCCAAACTAGCCAAAGGGATATTCTATACCACAGCACACCATGCCCAGTATATAAACTGGGAGGAGTTATCTGAAAGGAAACAGTTCCCTCTCAGGGATGGGTTACGTATTTGTCAGTGGGTGGTGAGATCTGTACTGTGCAGCACTGCAGTTTATTGTTGGTTTTCTTTCCTTTCCCCATTTAGTTTTACATCTTCCTCCTTGTTATTTCCCTTATTAACAGTAGTCACCATAGTAGTGTTAGTATTATATTTTATTTAATTATAGTTATTAAACTGTTCTTGTCTTAACCCACAGGTTTTATATTCTTTCAATTCTCCTCCCCATCCCACCCAGGGAAGGGGGAAAGGGAAAGCTGAGTGAGCAGCTGTGTGGTTAACTTAGTTACTTGCTGGGTTTGAATGACGACAGCACGTCAAGAGAGAACCTAAGCCACAGGCAGAGATAAGAAAGCACATCAACTCAGAAAAGTACCAGTGGAGAGCTTCTTGAGAAAATAACTGACTAAAAAAAGCCTGCAAAACTTAGTTGGTCCTTAAATATTCTACCATTGTCTCTTTTCATAACATCTTTGCTTATCATTCCTATGGTTAAGTCCTCCCTATAGTATGCCCTCTTGCACTGGCTTTTCAGAAGAAAGAATATCCATTAATTAAGGTAAGGGTAGATTGACTTTATATTACAAGATGATGCCTGGTAATCATCAGTAGCTCTAGCTTCTTTTTTTTGGCTAAGTATTAAGTGCCTGTGTTAGAACAGATGAACTAGGAAATGTGGGAAGAGGAAGATAGAGGATAAAGCACAGAAATGGTGGATCAGCAAAGATATTTTATATACTAACAACAACAGCAGTGCTATTTCTGAAGCATTCTGGGGTTAAATTTTGCTGTTTGTAGCAAAAAAAAACACCACACCAAAACCAAAACCAAAACAAAAAAGCTATAAACAATGAGCTCTTTCCTCTTGCATTTCAGCCGACAAAAGCATGGAAAACTAGCAATTTTTATAGCCTTTCATTGACTTTCTTTAACATAACCTTAATTTTAATTCATGCACTGTAGACAGAAAACTAAAAGCTTTAATAATACAGCCATTAGCTCTTATGCTTTATTAAAACTATTTGCACACTCTTTGTTGCACTTGTGAGACCTTTCAACAATACAAAACACGCTTTTAATATGTAAAGGAGCAGAAACTCTCAGAGAACAAGAATATTAGAGCAGAGTTCAATGATGTAGGAAAGTACCTGGATAAAAATCCCCTTGCGCAAACATGTCAATCACATAGCGACAGAACGCATATTGATCTAACAGAGCAAAGGAAAAAGAAGAGTAATGAAGAATGCATATTTAAAATGTTTCTATTTATAGTGAGATAAAGCTTGGCAGTCCAAAGACACATTTCAGGTATAATTTTACTTAGATGTTTGTTGTTTTTTTTTTACTGGCCTTCAATAATTCACATGCTCTGGAAGAGACAATTTATTGTCCAGATCTAATTTGAGCCTCCTAGTAAAAAACTTCAGAGCTACCAGTGCCCCGGAGCTACCAACTCTTTTTTGAGGCTGGCAGGATGCAGTGCATACCCCAGCAGTGTGCAGCCTCAGCTTTGGCATGCATCCTGATCCCACGCACAAGTACTGGGCAAAATGCTTCCTGGCCTCAGGTCCCAAAGACTTTTTTGTATCCTTAAAGGTCCATTTCAAATTTCCAGGTTATGGAAAAATTCATTAAAGTTTTATGTTACAGTGTTTTGTTAATAGTGTTTTAACAGTATAATCAATACATCTATTTAGTGAACAGGGATATAAAGAGAACTCTTTGTACTTATACTCCTGTAGCAATAAGATTTTCCACAGAATTTTATCATTTCACTACAGAATTATTTTAGAAACACTAATCTTTACAAACATATATGTATATATTGAACCTGTATATATGTATATTTAAACTACACTGTTGAGAAATTAAGGCTTTTGAATCTAAATGAAGCTGATTTCAGATATGTCGAATGTCTATTGATTTCTCTTACATATGCAGAGTTGAAGACCTTAAAAAAATTCTAACATTAAGAATAGTGAAGAAAAGTTACCAGTTGTAACCGAATGAAGAAGAATTGCAATATTATTGCTGGATTCCCCATTTGGCCTGGAAAAAAAACATGTTGCCTGACTGGACTCTAAGGGACATTAACTTTGAAAGTTAATATTGATGACTAAATGCCAACTCTGTTTAGCTAATTAGTTCCCAACTGTCTTTGAGCTAGACATATTCATCTGTCTGTCCTACACTGTTCTAGCACAGTCCTTAAACTACAGAAGTTACGTCTCTTCCCCTTTTCACCTCCTGTTTCATCTCTCTCCCGTTCACCTTCAAAGACTCCTACCTTCTCTTTGCAAACTTCAAAATAAAATTATGCAAACTTAAATATTTAAAATTTAAAGATTGGCAGCCACAATTAGATTTAAATGCAAAATGATATTCACAAGTATATAACATTCACCATATTATTTTCTTTCTCACATAGTTCACAGGAACATCAGTATTAGTTGATGAGGCATTTATACGATTGCTGCTTTATAATGTTGACTGCCATAGAAATCCTTGGGTGTAAAACTTCAGCTTTCAACGTAGGATTTCCAATACAGTTGTAGAAATTAGTTTTACAAGCTCAGCAAATATGCAATTGTTTCTACTAGTCGATAGGAGCCTATGCAGTGATTTCCTGTTACTGAGATGGCATGAATGATACTAATCAGTGTTGTAGAATCCGTGGCAAACCTTCAAGAGATACAGAGGGTTGTGGTTCTAAACACTGCTTTTAAAACATTTTATGACTACTCATAAGAGTTTCTATTTTTGTATTTAGGAATATAAATTTATCATTCTTCAAAGCTTCAAGCTTTGGATTCCATCCTTAAGGAATGTAATTCTAATGAATTTGGCTGCAATATCTGTACTAAGTCCATGTGCTAATTTTCTGAAAAAAGGTAGTAGCATATGTGTAAGAAAACAAGTATGTACAAATCTACACTCTCACTAAGACTGTCTAAAGCCACTACAGTGTTTGCAATGACTTCAGTGAGCTTACAAATAGGGCCCCAGCAAGTGTTAATAAATAAAATGGACCAATTCATATACTTTAGCCCAGCAAGCAAATGGCAAGACACAATTCTTCCCTACAAAGCTGACTTTTCCTTACCCCTCTTTGCCAAAACCATCTGCCTTCATCTATGCTGTTCATTGGGAAGAGACCTTGGACCGTTTTGGGAGCTTGTATAAAAGACTGCTATATGGCAAGGGGCAAAACAGTGACAGGGGACATAAAATGCATAGGCAATCACAGGACAGAGCACAAGCCTGTGGTGGCTCTATTTAGGTTGTGACATAGACATAAGGTCTAGCGGCTCACACCATTTCAGTAATATCCATAGAATCACAGAAAGGTTAGGCTTGGAAGGGGCCTTAAGATCATGTATCCCAACTCCCCTGCCATGGGCAGGGGCGCCTCACACTAGACTCTGTTTCCCAACTCTCTGTCCAGCCTGGCCTTGAAGACTGACAGGGATGGAACATTTACCACTTCTTTGGGCAGCCTGCTCCAGTTCATCATGGGAGGTGCTCCAGCTCCCTTATCATCCTCAGGGCCCTCCTCTGGGCTTGTTCCAACAGTTCCATGTCCTTTTTATGTTGAGGACACCAGAACTGCACACAATACTCCAGGGGAGGTCTCATGACAGCAGAGTTGAGGGGCAGGATCACCTCCTTCTACTTGCTGGTCACGCCTGAACTTCCTCTAAGTTTAAACCCATTATGCCTTGTCCTATCACTACAGTCACTGATGAACAGTCCTTGTCCAGAATCTGTATGCCTCCTTCAGATACAGTTTTTTTTTTGTTGTTTGTTTGTTTTTTAAATAAAACAAAAAAAGGACAGGATGTTAAACCCTGAACAACAAAAACAGCATTTCTACAGTATATTATATAATAAGGTGCACTATAACATCTCGTTGAAGTTCACAGGAATTCTGTCAATCAGCAAAGATCGAAACCTAAGGAATTTTAAATGAATACGATTTTCCAAATGCCTCTTCATGGCTAAAAATTCATTTTAATTTAAACTGCCTTGTTTAAAAGAAAATTTAAAACTACATCTGTCACCTTATAACTCTGTAATAGTGGCACAAATATTCATCTGAGTACTAATAAATCACATCGAAGTTTGTGACTAGAATCTTATTGATAAATACAGTTATAGATATTTCTGTCAGTAGACTGCATTTGATTTACCCTGGGGGATGACCTATCTTTTTTAATTTTAATTTGAGCAGGGAATCATGATACAGGAGGGAAATCAAACAGATCTTCTGTGACTACTATTGTATTTTTTACCTTGCTGCAGAAAACCTGGCAGAACTAGTCCCCTGAGCAAGAAGTAAGGATTGCAGGTTCACAAAATCTTGGCAAAACTGTATTGACTTCAAAATTATGTTCACCTTGGGTCACAGTGGGACTGAAATATAGAACTGAGAGTATCCAGCTGGGCAACAGTGGCTTATGGGGGGAAAAGGAAGGACAAAAGTAGAAAAAGCAGCTTTCATTGGAAGTATTTAGCCCTATCTCTAGTGATAAGGGCAGTTGGAGAGGCTCCTTCCTTCCTCCACTCCACCTGCCAGGGTTCATTGCACAGTCACTTGAGTCACACTCTAAAGCAGACATACAAAGTGGTCTGTTAATGTTTGATGTTAAGATGGATAATTTTGCTAATATTCATCAGATAAAGCAGCAATCCCACAAAAAAAAAAAAACAACAAAAAAACAACAAAACCCAAACATAACAAAACCAATAAGCAAAATAACACCACCCATTTTCTGTTGCTGTCTGTAACGTTGAACCCCAACTTGCTTTAAAATATTTTGCTGTCAGGGAGTAAATTGCCTCATCTGCTCACCACTGCTTTTTGAGATCCTTATCCTGAACAATATGGAGTGGATCCCACTGAGCCCTGAAACCCTGTCAGAGGAAACAAAAACTGAAAGAGATTTGTACTTCGCAAAGGGGCTAGACAATTTTCTGAATTTTCAACTCGGTCACAGGAATCAGCATGAAAAGTGTTGCTTTGATTCTATGCCTCAAAGGCTCCAATATTTGAAGTAAACCTCCAAATTCACTAGAACACACACAAAAAAATTACCAGCTCAGCACACTATGAATGTCAGAAAGGGGGCATCTCTCAGATTTCTAGAAATGTATAATTTCAGCAAGTCCCAAGGTGTCCAGAGCTGATGTTTATGAAATTCTGAGAGAATCTGCCAAAGGAAATTCAGATATCCAGGCAGGGGTGGCTGCTTTGGTGTTCAGGCACAATGATTTATTCGTGGTTATCAACTGAAAGGATCAAATAGGTGCATCATTGAATGCTGAGCTCTCTCTAGTAATGTCAGAATAATCCTGTGCTTGCAGTGTAGCAGTTCATACAGAGAGCCAGGTCTGATTCCTTCATTCATACAAAATTGTACCTAAAGCCATGGAAGTGCCACAGGGAAATCAGGAACTAATCAGTGTAACTTGGGAATGGAAGAACCCAGCCTGGCTCTGACAAAGAGGAGCATATAGTTAACATCTCTGACCTTGATGCATGTTGATTCTTTGTTTCATCACTTAATTTCTACCTTTCACCAGGGTAAAGGCACATCTTTCCTTTTTAAGAGAAATTTGGAAGCCATTCACATAAAGTTACATCAGGCAGGTGTATCACTTTGTCATACATTACCTGACAACATGACAACGCCTCACATAATGTGTTGTAAAACAAATAATTACATTAACTTTCCTCTGTTGCTACTTTCTTTATTGTTATGGTAAACGTATGCAGATGTAGAAACAAAACAAAATTCTCAACAGGTCATTGGGCAGTCTATATTTTCCAAAATAACTCTGCTAGAAATACACTACATAAATGTTACTGACAAATCCATGAAGACTATCTGAGGAGAAATTGGTCCTTGGTAAAGAAGGATTTAAACTAAAATAAATCTTTAGCCATGATAAACAGTTAGAACATTCTGGGTGTAGATTAAACTTATTTTATTCTCGACAGTCTCCTCCTAGTAGTGTGAGATTCATCTGGAATTTATTTATACTGCATTTTTGTTTTTCATGGATGGAATTTGGTCCTTGACAGCTTTAGCTCCATTCTCTCTGCTTCTTCCCTACTACCTTTTTAAGATCTTCATCTGTTTCCTCCTGGGTTTTTTTACCTTTCTTTTCAGATTTAGTTACAGTCTGAAGAGCTTTCTCCTCCTTAACCTTCGGTTTGGCCTTTATTAGCCCAACTTCTGTTGTTTTAGTCTCTGCCTGCTTGACTTTCTCAGTCATCTTTGCTTCTGCTTTTCCATCCTTCAAGTCCTTTTTAACTTTTGATTCCACTTTAGTGCTCTTTACTTTCTTCTCCTCTGCAGATGAAAAAGAAAAAGCTTTCAGTGTCATTCTTTCCTCCCCTTCCCAGACTTCCTCCCTCCCCACACCAGTAATATCCAGTGCCACTTATTTTATTTTGTGCTTTCACTACTAAGTACTTCTTCATTATTAACAGATCTGATGAAAAGTATAATCCCCCCAAACCAGACTTAGAAATATGAGATGCAAGCATTTTATTGTCTTAGGTCCTGTAGCGAGTATTTGACTGATACTAAATACAGTAGGCTATGGTAAAATATATAAAATGTTTCTAATGACTTTCTAACTTTCATAGTATAAACTAGGGAGGCAAATGTGGTTCACTGAGGAAAAAAAGATACAGAAGGTACTTCCAGGCTAAATCTGAGTAACTTTAGACTTCAGAGATCAGAGCTAAACAGCTGTAAGCTCTAAAAGTAGTTGATTTAAAGTGTGGCTATTTATAAGCATCACTTTTATGCACTGATTCTACTTCTCTGCTGAAGAAATATTGAGTTCTTGAGTTTCTACACCAGTTCCCCAGGCTGAAAGACTAGTCTGAGGCAATCCAATTCATATTGCACCTTACAGCAGAGTGGAAAGTTTCCAAGGAGAATTACTAAATTGTAAATACCAGTGTCTGAAGCTACACAGAGGTTGGTGAGACCAGGAGTATTCTTTCTGCTCACATGTATCAGAAGCTTTTTCTCATCTGAGACATGGATGTTGACAATATGTATGTTTCTAGTTTACTTCACTGGAACATCCAATAGTAGACGCCACTGAATATGACTTAAACTAATCTTTTTAGCATGATGTTCACACTCCTGTTTTCTTCATAGCCTTATTACATAAGCAAAACCCGTATGCCACAAAATCTGTCCTTTGTAATGCTCTAGCCTTCTATTTCTATTAAGCCACTGGGCTGACTAGAGCAATTTTATCAATATGTAAACTGAATAGTCCTACCTATTTTAAACCAGAATACAGATATTGATATGAGGGCATTTCTACTTCCAAACAAAAGAGTAGCATGACTAAGAATTGATGGCTAATGAAGAAAGAATTTGCTTAACTAGTTACAGTGAAAATGTACGTATCAGATCACTTACAGACAGGCCTACTTCTTTTCCCAGGAAATGTTTCACATCTTTAATTCTCATCTTTGAAATTTTAAGAGATTTTAGAAGGATCATGCAGAGAACTAACTCCAGAATGTTCTAAAGACATTTTATTTCAAATTATATTTAAATTTCATTATAGTATTATGTAGCTGATTTTTCACACATATTATATTCTCTGCTCCAGTAACAGAAAGTTTATTGTTTTTAATGTAAATTCTGGTTAAAAATGTAGTATAAATAAATAAATAAATAAATACCTTTGGGAGGAGGTTTCTTTTCAGCCTTTTCATGTCTTTCAGGTTTGTCTTTTTGAATTACTAGAAATGAGTACAATTGTTCATTAGGGGAAAAGAAATCACAAAGAATAAGAAAATATTGCAAAACACAACAAAATCATGGGAATTTTCACATTTCTTCATGATTCCTCTGTTTTGCTTTGCAAAATCCTTGCTTCCTTTCTCAGGTTCACACACTGGGGTAAAAACCTTCAAAATATCTGTTGAGACTCACTAACCAGAAGACAAGTCGGTCACACAGATCTGAAGCTTTGCAGGGAATGTTTACACTGCACATTCTAGATGACACAGATTTCCTCAGCTCAAGCTCTGAGCAGCCATGGGCTTGATCTTGTGCTCCAGCCAACAGAAAGCTGTGTGGCTACATTTGTCTTGCCGAAAGGTGCGCTTCTTAGCTTGGGCTCACTATCATACAAACACCACCACAATCCTGGTGCTCACTTCAGAGCCCAGCTCGAGTGGGTTCATGTCTGCACAGGATACACTGTGTAAACATGCACTGCTATGTCCCAGAAATGTTGTCGACATTTTTTGCAGAGACTCCTATCTTTCCTCTCTTGGTTGCCATCCAGACACATAGCTGGAACAAAACAGCCTTGAGAGTTAATTACACTTCTTTCAAGAGATAACTACATAGCAGCAACACCCTCTCTAACTGTATTCCAGCCTGGAATACCTGCCTGTATAAGCCATGATTGATATTTAAACTTTTCTTTTCTTTTTTTTTTTTTTTTTAAGATACTGTCCTGGGTTCAGCAGTAGCAGTCATTTTTCTCCTTCTCAGTAGCTGGTGCAGTGCTGTGTTTTTGACTTTTAGCCTGGGAACAACTCTGATAACACTGATGTTTTTAGTTGCTGCTCAGTAATGTTTACTCTGACCAAGGACTTTCTGAGCCTCATGCTCTGCCAGGGAGGAGGGCAAGCTGGGAGGAAGCAGAGACAGGACACCTGACCCAAACTAACTGAAGAGGTATTCCATACCACAGCACGTCATGCCCAGTATATAAACTGGGGGCAGTTACCCAGAAGGGTGAGATCACTGCTCGGTTGAGCTGGGCATCTGTCAGCATGTGGTGAGCAGTTGTGTTCTCTTCCGTTGTTATCTACCTTATCATTATAATTATTGGTGGTAGCAGTAATGGTTCTGTGTTCTACCTTAGTTACTGGACTGTTCTTATCTCAACCCGTGGGAGTTACATTCTTTTGACTCTCCTCCCCATCCCTCCAGGAGCAGGGGGAGGACATGGGAGGAGTGAGCGGCTGCGTGGCTGAGTTGCTGACTGGGCTTAAACCACAACAGATAGCTGTTGCTTGGATGGTGTGTTTAAACAGCATTCACATCACAGATGCTTTCTGCAGGCTTTAACAGGGGCTGGAGAAGTACCCTCTCTTTTCACTGAACACAGAGTGACTGTGGGGGCAGTAACTACCAGATTTTCAGTACTCCTGTTCCCTGAAGTTGGCCTGGACCTGAGCATCCTCATCTTTTATTGACTGCAAAGTGGTTGAAATAGGCCCTTAGCACCCATGGTAGCTGATCCAGTTTAGAGCAGAGCCCAGACAAAAGGGAGTGAGCTTGGGAATAGATATAGCTCAGCAGCACACTGCCAGCAGAAATGTGCCTTTGGAAGCACTGGGACAATGAGTGCCCTAGTGCACTGAGTCTACCCATAGTGACTTGCATGGCATGGAAACACACAATAGAGTGTAGCAGGTCTGTATGTCACATCACAGCAGCAAATCTACTTAGCTACAAAATGGCCAAATTCTTCACAAAATTTTCCAGCCAGTGACTAGAGTCATGGCTGTTATTAAACACATTAAAGCTCTAAGTGATTATTTGGTTAGCTAGCAGAAGATAAATGGGCAAGCAGGCTGGCTGCTCATTAGGAATATCTCAGTGATTCTTGGAAGTTATTTGCTTTTCAAAACTACACAGACACTATTGGCATTTATTTTCTCTGGATAACTACAATGTGATTTCACTTTGTTAACAGAAAATTGTACATTTTCAAGTTAGACACTGAAAGTAGAAAAATGACCAAATATCCTCTTAAAAGAGACTGTACAATGGCTACCTTTCAAAGTTTTTTGAGGCTTTAAGTCTTCATTCTACCTCTCTGTAATTTTCTGTAATCTCTTTCTTCCCTCTTATCCTCTCTTTCACATTTGTCTTCAAGAGTAAGATCAGCTCCAATAAAGACTGATTTGTACATCTGAATCTATACTGTCTGAGCAGATTCAAATTAAAGCTAATAAATTCATGCATCCCATCATCATGAGATTAATCTAAATGCCATAACAGATTGATACTAAGATGTATTGCATGATACTTTTTTTCAAGACTTAGCTGAGCAAAAGTAAGAAAAGTCAACGACTGAAACCTAAATTCATTACAGAAATACCTGGCTTCTGAAAAGCAATGTGCACTAAAGAAAAAAAAAAAGAAAAGAAAAGAAAATCTCAGAGCAAATGCATTCAAATGCCAAACAATAAAAGAGTTAGACTTTAAAAAATAGCAAAACAGGGCAAGCTGATTGGATTTTTAAATCCCCCTGCCCAAATCATGGTTAAAGATGGTATTATAAGTCAAAAGAATGCTGAAAATAGCATCTCACACATGATATTGCTTTAGAATATATATGATAATTAGTAGATATGTAAATCTTAACCAAAGCCGTGGAGGACAGTACAAATCATGTACTGAAATGAAAATGTTATTGCAAAAAAATAAATGTAGGAAAATGAAAATCTGTTTTTGGATGTGATAGAAGATCCAGACTGAGAGACAGTAAACACTCCTGCATTAAGTCTGCACCAGATTGAAAACTGATACATGAGAGAAAGCCTTCTTTGCAAATAAATTACTGAATCCCACTGTGGAGTAAAAGACAACAAGGAATGCAAATATTATAGTCATAGGCTTATTTCTTTAGCTGCACAAGAATGATTCATAATTATCTCTCTGCATCAAAACAAGAGAACTAAGCAAGAAGTATATGCTGAGCAAGAGTTTACTCAGGAGTTGATCAAGACCTAGTCAAGCAAAAGTCAGAGCACCCAAAAAATGCACAACTTGAACTAGAAGAGCTTTATACTTTAAATAGTCGTCTCCATGCTCTCCCAAACTATATAAGCACTGAAAATCTAAAATTTTGCAAAATCTAATAAAAATCTCCATTACCTTTAGAAGGTGCTTTCTTTTCATGTTTTTCTGGCTTTTCAGGTTTCTCTCTCTGAATAGCTAGAAATACATAACAACAACATTAATGGTTATTAAAAGACAGAAACGTTGTTTTTCAAGCGAGAAAAGTGAGATCAAGAAACACAGCTAGGCACCACAGCTATCCATACAAAGAACCAGAAATATTGATTCAGCTGCTGCTGCTGCCTGCTGTTGGTGCCGAAACACATGATTTGAACTTTCAAAAACTTGTCTGTGATCCCTGAGGTTTCTACCATCAGCTGGGAGAGGAATGGCTTTTCTGGCATGATTGTAATTCCATGACAGAAGTTAGTCAAGAAGAGTCAAGCTTACTGATGTTGTTTACTGGTTCTTTTGTTGTTGCTGTTGCTTTGTTTTGTTTACACTGTCATTTATTGTTTATTTTGGTTTATTGTTATTTTTGAGCTTTCTTGTTTATGACTTTGGTTCATTTCTGAAGGATTTTCTAAACTCCACATAACAACTAACAGTTTTCTTAGCTATGAATGATTAAACACTATAATTAATTACAGATCTAATTGCAATGGCGTTATAACTAATGCTCTTTGGGGCTTTTTGTTTGCTTTTAATTTCCACTTTACAAATTGAAATAAAATACACTGTAGTTACTAGATTTCTAGCTCAGGTTTCAGAATGCACCTGAGTTGTGCAGTAATCACTGAGCTGTGGTAGTCTAGAATATTCTCCTGTGTGGGCCCTGATTTGCCATTTTTTGAGATTGATGTTTACAAAATAACTTGTCCATATCTATGCAGAAATGATTTTTGTATGTGATCATATCTCCTGAGGTACCCTACAGGGACCAGGCATATAAAAGCACTCAGCTGCCTATTTCACTCCAGCATATGAGTTTATACTAAGAACAAATAAAATGCATGCATGAGCATTACTATGTTCTCTTCAGCCTTGTGTTGGTGCTTCAAAAGAAAGTAAAAGTTGTGGAAGATAAAGCAGTGCTAGATACCTATTTACTTCAAGTAACTGTTTAAAGACTTAGTCCTGCCTTATTCAATACCTATGCAACCGCCCTACTCAGTATTATATTTAAAATGTTATTTTTTCACATGGCCTACTTCATTACCTTTGTTTACAGGTTGTCAGGTACATTTTCCATGATGACCATACTCTTTTAGCAACATAATTACTGTGAGTGTTGGAAATACTCAGAGATTACTGTGAGATTATCTCTTTTCCTCAGACAAAAAAACAACAAACAGAATAGAAAGTGTTACTCAGCCTATATGTCTGCAGACCATTACCTGATGTAATGAATCTAATTAATAAAGTTCTATAACATTTTTTCCAGTCAAGGAGATACATAAATGGAAATTGAGTAGACAATTAGTTCTGGTGTACCTCAAAATGTAAAATAAATTCTGTCATTAAATCATTACCTGCATGCTTTTCCTTTTTTCCATGTTTGTCTTGTCTTTCCAGTTTGTCTTTATGTGTCACTAAGAAAGAAGAAATGTGTTCATATATGTTAAAAAATCCTGTGGAAAAACTTAAAAAATAATTCTACCAAGATAAGCCTTAGGAGACAAAACGGCAGACTACTTTACTCTTAAGATGTCAAGAGCATAACTACACATTATACTACACTGGTGTGATCTGACAACTCTGGATAGCAAGTTACCGCTTACCATCCAAGTCACCGTAACATGCCTTAGCTGTTTACTACAGTAATATCATCGCTTGCAATTGTCTGTCCAATCCTGGAGAGAGATTTTCAGAAAACTGTCAAGGACTAAAGCAGAGCTCACACTAAATGCTGTTGCCTGCACTGGGATGAGGACACCACCTGGGCCTCCCCATACTGTCAGGCAGAGGCATGTAAGAACCCTGGAATCAGTGCTGGAGCCAAAGAGCATCACATGCAGACATGACACATCTGCCACTTGCCAGCTGGCTTGAAATGGATAACCAGTAATGGATATGGATATCTAGTAATGAACACTAGCTGAGATCAGGCCCTGGCAATGATGATATAAGAGCCATAATTAGACGCCCAGTATGTGCAAAGTAAAAACTAACATTATGACAGTGGAAAATGTATTATGCTACCCAGTTATTCAAATAACATTTTCCACTCACTTTTCTTAGAATTTTACACAATAATTTTCTGGACAATGGGAAATAAGCATGCAGATTTTAGAGCAATTCAGAAAAATGAGCTGTGAAACTGCAAGCTACCTTTAACTTTTACTCCTGCAGAGATTGCATCCAAGTTTGGTAAAACTCCATTTGCAAAAAAGAGAAAATAAGGAAGCTCTTTTACACTACAGTGAATTCCATATCTAATTGAAACAAAAGAAGAAGGGTAGGAAATGTCCAGGCTTTCACATTTTTTTTAGAAATATAGTGTGTATAAGAATGAGCTCCTGACATAGCTGGCTGAGTCACTTGTGACTGAGACACTTTTAATTGTTCTCTGTGTCATTAGATAACTTTCCTAAACTTCATCATAGAAGCTGATTAGAAATTAGAATAGTATGTTATTTACTCTCTGTTACCTGAATCTTGAAAAGCAAATGTATATAAAGTGGAAAAGAAGCAGTTAATATACAGGGATGCAGTGAAACTTTGGAGTCTCCCAGTCACACTACAATTAAATGGGCCTTAAAAAAACATGTATCCATAGTCATAGTTTTAAAATACAAAGTACAGTGTGAAAACAATGTTTCTTAGTACTGTAAATACAGAGAATCCCTATATGCAGCACTGGTTTAGTAGTAAATGTGATAGTTCACTAAATGAAACTAATACATTCACTTAAACATAAAACACAGAAAATTAGTAGGAATTATGACAAGTTAAAGACAGTATAATAATACTTATTCTTCTTCATTGGCTATCTGAGATTGGCTTTCATTTATTATTAGCTTTTAAAAACATTAAATATCGTTCTCCTACCAAATCAAATTGAAGAGTTTCCCAAATTTTCCATAAAATAACAGAGAAATTTTAATGACACATTCATGTTTTAAGATGGGACATTATTGTCTTTTTTCTGCCATTTTTCCAAATCTCAGAAAAAATTTCTCATGTTACCATTATTCTATTTTCTAGTAATAAATATTAATTCTAACACACACTTGAACTTATGGGCCTGGCATTAACCCCTAGAGTCCATCTTGCTAGCTCAATGTATTTTGAATTAGTTATATAAAATGGGAATCTCCAGTCAAAGACCATTAGGAAAGCCTAGTCAAGCGCAAATTTTGGGAAGGTGTATGTTCACTTGGGTTGTGAGACTTGTGTTCTTGGTCTGAAATAAATCAACCACTGCTGGATATCGGGTCTTCCCTTTTTTGGGTGATTTATTATGACCATTGGCCTATTCATTCTTCCAGAATGGGTTTCTTCTTTCAGCCTGAAACTTCATTAATCACATTTTTATGTAAATGACATGTTCTCAGAAGGCTTAAAGTGTTTTGACAAGTAGGCATATTTCAACAAATGCCATTTTGCCAAAACATCTTTGACAAGATGCAAACTAGATGGTGGCCTTCAGAGCCCAGAGCTAACTCATGACTTGTGGGTGGAGAGGAAACAGTGTCTGATTCTGACTCCTATAACAGGTCGATCTGTAATTTGTTGCTGGCATACATTAACGGCAAATTAGTAAATCATCTCTGAAATGAATCTGGGGAATTTTTTTTCCAAAGGCAGGTGTCTGGAGCAGAATACCTCCAGGGACCATGTTCTGTATGTTAAAATTTGCTCATTACATTTTGCTTAGAAGTATTCCCAAAGATGAATATTATGCTTAGATTTATTAAGGAAGAATAAAAAAGATATTTATGCTCTGGGCATCTTTTACATAAGTTAATAATACAGTAAAAACTTATTCATAAATCTCTGAACATAATTTTAGCCTTTTGCTCAGCAATGAATTCAAAGTGATTTTAAAATACTAATTTTCCTTCCAGCTGGCTTTCACACCTCCTCCATCCTTAAACGTAATTGGGTTTACAAGAAGGGTCTAAAAGTCAATACATTACATTGTTTTGAACCACTGGCAAAAAGACAAGGAACATACTGAATACATACCCTTCAGGGGTTCCTTCCTCTCAGTTTTTTCTGGTTTCTCAGGTTTGTCTCCCTGAATTACTAGAGATACATATATAAAAAAAATTACACAATAAATTTGTAATCTGGAGGAATTATGTATACTTATTTCACTAAGGTGATTGAGGAAAAATATTTGTAAATTCAAATAACAGATTTTAGCTCTGAGTCGCAGGTACTAGATAATGTATAGACCTCCTTGATGTCAATATTTAATTCCAGGTCCAAGGGAAATATTTTTCATTGGGTAAGACTTCATATGTTAGACCATATTTCTGTAAAATAAATGATTATTCAGTGACCTTAATCTAATCTGTGAGATCTCTTTTGGTCTCACTATACAAGCAACCTGACTCTAAGATTTCTGACAGAGGGAATTATTTTCAGTATTTGAGAGTACAGATTTCTCTTCTTAAAAAAAAAAACTTAAGAAAAAAATGCTTGCATATTGCTTTCCGTGCTGTTTTTTCTTTATTTTTAGCTGTTACTTAAAATGGATTAAAACAACCACATCTCTTTTAATCAGAGCATAACCTCAGGAAGATAAGATGTTCAAATCATGACAAGCTACATGTCTGACTAGAAACAGGCAAACATGAATCCTTAGGGACTATTGCCCACCCAACTTTCAGTCCATTTTTGGACAAGACTATGCTCCACATCCTGATGATTTAGATGACAAAAATTTCCCATGTCAACCTCTACTACTAAAAGGCTAGCATACTGTAATTTCAGGGGCAAAATATTTTCTTTGTAATGCTCAAGTTTCTGTCAATGAGTAAATCACAGAAAATATAACTTCAATTAGAAGGCAACTGTGAGCTTTATACATAAGCACAGTAATGGTTTTGCATACATTCATCTCACCAGCTTTGAAGCAAATGTCATTTCACAGAGGTGCAAGCATTTCTTTGTTGGTTAAATATGTCCTCATTAGAAAATAAGTCCATGTCTTTAAGAAATAACAGTACAAACATTCAGTAATTTCTTTATGTCTTGCATGTGTTCGCATTATCCAAATACATTTCCAGTCATAACAGGTAAATTATTGTTGATAACAATTAGCAATGCAGTGAAAAGAGATTGAAGTGAGATTTTTCAAGGTCTTTAAGGAATATGGACAGCCAATTTACAGTAAAAAAACAGGCTGTGAAGAATGCAGCAGCACCAGCAATGTATTACTGAATGAATTAGAGGATGTAATTCATTCAATTGCTTTGGGATATCCAGTAACTTACCAAGGGAAAGGCATCTCCCCTCTGCCTATCTCGTGCAGAACCTAGACTGAACATTTCTGCAGAAACTGTAGCATGCTTTTACATCTTACATTTGTATTAGCAGGTGCTAGCTTTGTACAAAACACTTTGAGCTAGCGTGTTGTCAGTTTTGGATAGGAAAATAGCACAGTTTTGCAAACAATAGCTCTGTGATGGTCAATGGCATTGAAACTTGAGCTTCTGCACATCAGACAAAAGCCCTTGTAGTCTCTATGCCAAAAACCATAGCTGAACTATGCAGAATGGACTGGCAATCAGAAAGCTTGCTTTCAGCCACAGAACATCTTACTTCTGTAAGGGAGACTGTTGTGGGGTTTTGTGTTTTGTTTTGCTTTGTTTTTAAATTTATTCTAGTTTCCTCATGACATTTCCCTATTTTGTGCTTTAGAAAAAAAAACACAAAACCAAACCATAAAAAAAAACAAGGCAAAAAAAATCCAACACAAAACAACAAAGAAAAATGAGCCTTGAAGGACGCTAACTGAATTGAGTGTCAGCAGACCTTAAAGTGGACAGAAAAATCTAATTAATGTTCCTTCATGTTATCCCCTTACGGTATAAGGGGATAAAAAGAAGGGAATTTGTGTGAACTCCAAGTTAGAAACACGGAGAAGGGACCACTTGACTCTGTCTTGAGAAATAAAAGGAACGATACATCTGGGCATGGAGCCTGGAATGTGGATAAGCAAAGACCAGGCTGGCGGAAGCATAAGCTATTTTTCTTTTCCCTATGATAGGCTGAAGGCCATCTCTGGCTAGTTCAAGAGCCCTATTCTGTATGTTGATATCCCATAGTCTCAGAGTTTGCTAATCTCAGATTGCAGTGTTTGCCATTACCTCTTATGGACGCTGTCAAAGCTGTGGCATTTGGGTAGAAACTTATCTGGGAAGGGCAGATGCTGCCAAAAATTAGAAAGCTCATTTTTCAGGACTATGATGACTGCACATTTTTGTCTCTACCATCACAGTGAAGAAGGGCCACCAAAATCCTGAAGCTTTTGATCTGACAAACTTAAATAGTATTTTTCTTTTGCATTTTAACTCTGCTTCCCCCCCCCAAAAAAAAATGTTTTCATGTTCAGCATCATATGTAGTACTCAAACCTC